TGCAGCACCCTGGGCTCTCGCGACAGGGCCTCGCTGCAAGGCCGCACGTGAGCTCGCCCCTTGCCCCACGCCCCAGCTGCGTCGCGCCCACCAGACAGAGCAATACGCCCCGCCGGGGCACATGGAGAGAGACAGGAGCTCCTTTGTTTCTGATCAGGGATTTCGATTCAGCAGGCCCGGGTGGGCCGCGCTTCTGCCTGCCCCCGGGGGCGCGCATTCGTGGCTCCTCCCGAAGGCAGCACCGACAGCCCTGTACCGGCGGGTGACACTGGGCTGCCAGGTCAAGCGGACTGCTTCCCAGCAGCTCCGAAATGTTCCCACTATGGCACACCGAGCGGTGCAGGTCACAAACCCACTCATCTTCATGGCGTTCCTTAAATGTCCCAAAGCTCAAGCCCGGCTATTAAAGCCACCAGGTTTAGTCAACCAAGCTTATGCATCAATTTTAGAATGACAATAATAAGTTAAAAAGAGTTTCAAAAAGCAAACTCTTCATTTTAATGTTGGCATGAATTTTGTACATCAAAACAGCAACTATAAACACCCAAATCTCTTAAATATGGGCAGCGTCTATCACTTTTTACTAGTACCTGCTTTACTCAGTTAGCAATAGCTTACTGATGGATATATACGTATCTATAAGTAACAGCACTAATCCATGAGACATCACGTATATGTCTACGGGGAGAGAACAGCTTTGGTAACTGTTTGTCATTTTACACTGCAGACTTGTCATTACCACAAGACAGCAAGCTACCAGCAAGAAGAAATGATACTGGCGGCAAGACTTTTGCTTTTCCAGAAACACCCGAGGGACTTACATTCAAGCACACAAATTATGCTTTTCTATATGCATGACAAAGATTCTCAAGATTAAAAAAGTAAGAAATTGGTTATAAATAACTGTAGATCTGACCAATTTGCTCAAGTCTCTGAAGCTGCCGTTAGACATTGCTCTATGTTGCCCGGAAGCATGGCTTGCTCTACTGCGCTGTACCTACGGGTGCTGCGAGGCTTTCAGTCAAGACAACGGCAGGATTTCGGTTATTCAAAAGACACAGGAAAGAATTTCATGGGCACGATGCTGGCTTCAGCGAGAAATCTGCTCACTCACTCAGTCACGTCATATTCCTGCATGCGGAAAGTAAACAGCTTTTCCTACAGTACCATGTTTACGAACGTGCCAACTAAAATTTCAAGTCCACGAAGGACTCTGCTGCGGTCTCTGCGGTAAACCCAGACTCTCGTACCCAGAGCTGGGAAGCTAAATCCTGACTCCATCAAGCATTTTTGCGAGCGCAGAAAGTCCTTTTCGTGGCGTGCGCATCGGTGTGCAAACTCCAAAATGCACATGCAAACCCTGTACTAGCACAGGAAGCCTCCAGGAAGTGCTCCCAAAAAAGTGTTTAAAATCCTCAATTTAAATGTCTGCAGCAGATTATAACTGAAGCACGCTTTTCAACGCAGTCAGGTGAATTCTGGTTTGGGCACTTTGAAAATACCCCATACCCTGCTTTGGTGACATGGGATTGTACGACGTATTTCAATATGGTGTTCAAATACGAACAAAATTAAGGCATGCAGATAAAAAGGCACTAGCTAAAAAAACCCAACTTTTCATTTTGTTATACTGAAAGGACTCTTCAGCTACAAATCAAATTGCAAATCAAGTTAAAATTTTAAGACTATACTTAAACTGTCAAGAAAAAAGGCCTGTGCAGATTTAACTTTGCAGTTATTAGATCCACACCTTTTTGTGTCCTGGCATGGATATTTCTGTCACCCAAACCGAAAATAACGACCTCGCTCTGACACGACTGAAACTTTCAGCCCCACTCTGACAGGACTGTTAGTGACACCATTAAAACCACACTGCAGAAGTAGCTTGACTTTTGTTAGTTAACACGTGCAACAGAACAATAAAATTCCTCAGCGGGTCAGTCAGTCCTTTGACAATTTGCGTACTCACTGCGAGCCTTGGTCCTTACGTTTTGAGAGCATCGCTTCATCGCGGCATTTACCGAAAAGCAAACCCACCCTGCAACAGTCTTGTTTCCACTGGCGTTTCCTAGTAATTGGATTCACCAACTAAGAATAATTCATGGCTCTAAAACGCTGGTAGCTGTTGGTAAGATACTAGCAGTTGTGAGCAGGGATCTTGGCTCTGCAACCCTCCTCCAACGGAGCTTTAAGCATGCAATTCCATGCACCCCCCAAATCCTGGAACTGAGGCTTGCCCTCTAACACATCAGCAGTCAATACAAGTGTTTTACAGACATCGTACACAGAGGTACTACGTTATTTAATGTAGCTTGTTTTACTGCATCACCCCAACAGGAGAGCAATACGAGCTAACCTGTCGGTAAAAGTCCGATTTAGCTTCCTAATTATTTCTAGCTCAAAACTTTCATGGTAATAACCATCTACTTTACTGTAAGTTGCTTAAGTCAGTAGACAAATTCTCCATGGGGTGAAAAAAAACAGCTCAAGCCTAATCTTGGTTAAATTAACAACATTTTACTAGAATCACTGGAACTGGCAAATGTCATCTTCATTTAAGAAGCACCTTCTTTATGTTGGCATCTCTCTGATATGTAAAAGAAATGAAGGAAAATGCGTTCTGCAAATTCTTTTCTTCCTTACCGTTGTCATGACCGAATGCCTTCTTTAGAAAAGGCACAAAAGCAGCAAACTTGATTATTCAGTAATTAAAAATCATCACAATGAGGAAGTGATAATGCAATATACATGAGCCAGCACTGTCTCACGAAAAGGACACATCATAGGAAAACTAGATTCTGAGAGTTTTCAAGCTTTGGAGAGTGCAGTTCCTTTTTAGAACAGTGTATTTAAATGTTATGAACACTACAGATAAACCTGGTTACATTTTCCCTTTAATGTCCTTTTTTGGTAATATAAAATTTCCTTACCTTTTCAGAGATCACTGTCCACTACTGATTTTTATATACATTTTCACCTTGGGTTTGGTACCACCTTAATCTGTTTGAAATTATTAATTTCAATTATATGATCTTGAAGTTACCTACATAAACTATTAAGCTCTACCTTAAACTTCTCCACTGTCACCAAATTCTGCTTATAAAGCAAAGGTCCTTTACAGCAGAGTACATACCAGTTCTTAAAGGCTGCTTTCATAGTTTTATCTAGTGACAAAGCAGCAAAAAAAAAAAAAAAAAAAGACAGTACAAGCTGACTTTCAGCTTTCTAAACTTTCCCTGGTCTGACAAGCTCTTCCCACGCTCAGAAAACCTTGCACAGTTGTGTACCCTGACTAACAAAATTATAAACTGGGTAAAATACTCACATAAACCAAAGCCACCACCACTCTCAGTCTCAGGAGAGATGGCCTCGAAAAAAAACCAACCAAACCCCACAAAAAAAATATAAAATCATTCTTACTCCACTACAGGTAAAGTGATTAAGATCGCTCCATACTCCTGCTTGTGCTCTGGCACAAGATGTGGAAGTTAGCAGAATAAATTCTGAAGTCTCATGAGTGAACTGCCACGGGAATGGGCAAGGTGGTTGTTCTATCTCCCCGCACTTCACCATCTGATAGTCCTCTGAGGGTGCAAAACAGGTGGGGCCTTGTCAGAGCAGGCAAGGTTCACTGTGCCAACCCGCTCTGCCTTCGCAGATCAACACAAGCCAGCAATGAATCATCCGAAACGGCATACGTTAGTTCAGCTCTGCAGCCCAACAGTTTATTTCCAAATGCCCTTTTAAATGATTTATGTTGTGTTCTTCAACAAAAATGAGTTTGACTTTTCTGTTGTGAAAAGTCAGTTATTCACTACACCTCATCAGTACCTGGACTTCTTGAATGAGCAAGAGCATTTCAGAGTTTTACTTCTGTTCTTTTGTTACCTCTTTCAGAAACAGAAAAACCTGACAAACACCAATCGCCTGGATTATGAGCCTGGAGTAATCACGCTCATGTTATTTAATTGCTGGATCCCTGCGCTTTCGGCCTATTCTTCATGCAATCTTCTGTGCTGTGCCTCCTTGTTCATGTGGATTCATCATCGCTACCTTATTAAAAAGGTAACTGGAGTCTTATCTCCCTCTGTGACTTATTCCTGGTGTTAAAATATGTTTAACTTTATTTCAGGAATTTTCAACACATCCTAGATGACTGAGCTGTGTTACTAGAACAGTTTTTTTAGTGCATAATGGGAAGAATTTTATATTATTCAGGCACTTGATGTTGAGATACATTCCATCCTAGCGCCTCTCAACAGCTTTGAAAACATTATTTCTTATACCTCATTCTGAATTAAGTAACTTATATACTGCACAAGGATTAGTCACTCCTCTTCCCCAGCCCCCCCCTCCGAGCCATTCATGGGATTGTGGAGGAGAACTGACTCTCAACATCACTATTTTCTCGTACCTAAGATAACCGTCTCCCTCCCAGCTTACGCAGCAGAGGTTCTCTTTGGCAGATACAGCAGGAGGCATTCTCCTCACTATTTACATCCAACGGCTGACCCTTGCCTATTACGGAAATCTTCCCCTTGCGGTATAGTAGTTCCTAGGAGCCTGGGTCCATAACCTGTTTACCTGTAATTATTTTCCTATTAAGAGAATACAACAGTTCTACACCAAAACCTCTAACTAGTACACCAGTGTTGAGCTCTTTTTTATTATTTTCTTTTGGTCACAAAGAAGTACCGGTTAGACGCACTGCTGCACAAAGAGTTCCAAGTTCTTCCAGCTTTAGCATTAACTCTCAGAACCGTGTGTTCCAGCTTAAACTGTAAAATCCAGAAACTGACTAAAATGCCAAAATTAGTAAGAACTTGGAACTCTCTGCTGCAAGTACCTACAATGTAAAGAAGAATCACAGAGAAGTAACCTTCTTGTCCTTTAGCTGCATGTCTATTTTTCCCTGCACCCTGAGTCAGTCAGCGGTGTCAGAAAAAGTCACACAGTTCCTGACTGTCCAAACATTTATCTTTTTTTTTTTTTTTCCCCTTTAAATAAGGAACAAATATGTACTAAAGTGCTTTATCTACATGAACCACATCAGTACATCATAGAAACAAAAAGCTCTAGTCCTGGTGGGAGCCGGGGAGAGAAGATTCTCATTTTAGATACAAAATTTAGATTGTTTACAATCTAAGTGAAACAAAGATTCAAGAGAATATTCTCTCTCTTGTCTTTTTTCTCCTTTTTTTTTTGTAAAAAATAAAAATAAAAGTGCAGTCAAATAGAAAATAAATGCAGTAGATGCAAGCTGAGTTGAGGCAGGCTGTTAGTGATAGTGTGCAAACGTGTGTCTTAGCAGTTCATCTGCAAATGGTCGCAGCTTGGCCTCGATAAAAATCCGTTTCAAGAAATCCCGAGCATGGTCGGAGACATGAGGTGGTAGCTGGGGGTTGGTTGGCTGAGTGGCAATTTTAAAGATGGCAGCCATTGCTTCGAACTCTGCCCACGGGGGCTTCTCAGTGAGCATTTCTACCACTGTACAACCTACGCTCCTGAAACAGAGGCAGAAGTGAAACAGCAGGTTACTACAGAGTCATGCCCTTCCAGGAACACAAGAAACAGCAGAGAGTGACTGGAACACCGCAGGAAGTAAGCAGCGCCCACTTAACGCTACGGAGCAGCTTCAGCGGAAAACAGGTGTTTAAAGTCATTGCACGCACGGCTACACACTTTACCTCAACGTTGCACGAACCACTACCTACGTCTTCACCCCATCACTTCACTGGGCCAAGAGCTACTACCTCAGCGAAGGGGCAAGGAGATCTTTATCTGGGCCACGCCAGCCGCGTTATGGCCCTGCCGCTGCCCAGTGCTCTGCCGGCCGAGAGAGGCCACGGGCGCTGCACAGCCCCTGCACCCCAGCTCTTCGGACCCCTGCAGGAGCGGAGTGCACTTGAAAGCCTCCTGGCTCGTTATGGCTGAACAGAAGCGCAAAGCAACAGGAATGCTTCGAGTGTACGGCGTCTGTTGCTAGCTCAGTAGGAATGCACCAGTTCTCACCAGCGAATGCTGTGCAAACAGGACACGGACCCAAGTTTAAAACCACCCTTCAGCGGTATCTTCCTCTGTTAGCTGAGGATACTAAAAATATACTTAGATTGCCAAACAAAACGTTAAGATCCTAAACAATCTCTGTATACAAAGCTTATGTTTGAAGGATTTCGGAAGGCAGGAGGGCATGCACCTGGCCAGAAAAACCTTTTTCCGCACATCCTGCAAGATCAGCCTCTTCCCGTAACAAGCAAGTGATGCTCCAAAACGGATTGGCTGGAATAATTTCCCAATTTTCAGGAATTTTTATGGTTTTTCAAGATGCCTGTAAGAAGTTTTATGGCTAGACGGAGGTACATTTCTTTACACAATGAAGATTCACTGACTGACAGAAGTAAAACTTCATTATTGTTTCTCTGTTTTAACCAGGATTTTCTCCATCAAAAACATATATTAGCCTTGGTACAAATACTTCGAAGTTGAACAAGTCAACTGCCTGAAATCTATAAGGCTGTTCTGTTACTCAAGTACAGCAGAACAATTACTAAGTGATCTGAAGTAGGCTAAATTAATTTTCCTGACATTAAACGTATTGCCATCGGTTGGACGTAACGTGGCCCCTTTTTAAACACGCAAAGTGCTCCTACTCCTGCATACCTACCGTTGCCTACCTGTTACTGGGTGTGCGCACAGATCACCTGCTGTGCAAGGAGTCTAATCGCTAAAATCATCTGTCCATTGGGCTGGAGCTATGTTAGACTATGTCATATTACACAACGTATCACAAACATTCGCTTTTGAAAATTACCTTTCCTTCTTAATTCTTAAATCTTTAGTAACAACTTAAACCAAATTATTTTCGATACCTCCCATTTAAATCTGGCTCATTCATTCTTACGTGCTTCCCTTTTAAAGGACCAGCATTTCATTTTCTGCTTTGCACCAAAGGTATTTCAGCAGTAAAGTTTAACTGCAGGACATTGACTTTACTGATGCTTCAAAGCTTCACCTGTTGATTCCACCCAGTACCTCTCCGGCATTCACAAACAGGCTGGTAATCCTAACTTCATGCAAGGCCGGTTCAAAGGGCTCTCTTAAAATCCCCAAATTGATGGGCTGGGGAATTTCCAAATGAAAATTTCCCCAATTTCAGCGTTACACTCTCCCAATGTGACTGTCTGTGTTTGCACTTGCCACCTCCTTCAGCTTAAACCCCAGAACGAAATACGCCAACTTCAGATAACAAACACCCACACTCTGCTGAAAAGAGCCCATTCTGAAACGACACCTTTCAGTAGAGAAGTTTTTTTTAACATACCAGATGTCTGCTTTTCTGCCATACCCTTCTCCACTAATAACTTCTGGACTCATCCAGTATGGAGTTCCTGTGACAGACTTCATCCCTGTACCAGAGAGGCAGATAGTCTGCAGTCGTTTGCTGGCACCAAAGTCACCGAGCTTCACGTTGCCTGCTGAATCTCGCAGAATATTTGCTCCTGGAAGGAAGGGAACACAGTGTTACTTTCATGAATGGCCTCTTAACATTTTGGTGTGGAAAACTGTAACAAAAGATTGGACTCAGTGACACAATCCAAGATCAGCCTAGTATTTCAAGCCAGAGAATCTACTTTCTAGTTTTTCCTATTACCCTATTCTGAGGTTCAGAAAATAATGAATTGTACACACTGGTTTGCACCCCGGGCCTTCTCCGGGAAGTGCCAGTCACTCTGTAAAGCCTTCCTGATGAAATAATTTCCTTGCCGTACAAGGGAAATAAAAAGAAATGGGAAAGAAGTTTCCACACAACTGAAAACATCTTCACACTGTATTAAAGCAAAATCTCAAACTGTGTTACAGATTTGTTCAAAACACTTACCTGCACAAGCATGTGCAAACTGACCGTATCTCAACCTTTTTTTGGAACGAAACACTATTGATACAAAGCAACAGGAAAACTGTAAAGGTTTTCAGGAACACAACAGCACTGTGCTCAACACACCTATTTTGCACATCCCCATCTTCCTACATATTCCTAAGCTGCTTATGCAGCACTTGCCAGGCTCCTGTATCTATCCGCAAAAAGTGAATGTGTCTGTCCCCTCAGGTTTCGTGGCAGTGAAAGGGAAGAAAACAGAGTCATTTAATCAGGCAAGTCACCTCCGCCAGTGAAGTGCTGGGTCATTTCTATACAACCGATGAAACAAAACTCTGCAAAAAACTCCTGAGCCATATGCTTTCCTTTGCATATTCTATCTATCTGTAACGACATCATCCTTTGACATATTCAAAACTATGAATACTAAAATAAAATCACAAAGAAATTCATCATGATCGTTTTGCAGACCGAGACTACGGAAACACTATCAGAAGTCTGCTAGAACGCCACAAAGATGCTTATTTTTCCCCGTTGTGTTACAACAGTGACAAGAATAAATGATGGAAAGCAATCTCATTGATTCCAAGTCAGTATTTTGGCACTTCAAACTTAACTACATTTTAGCACTTCACACAAGAATCTGTACTCAAGAGCACAGAACTGTGCACAGAACGATCATCACCTTTAATATCTCGATGGACAATCATATTACTGTGCAAATAATGAACTCCTTCCAAAATCTGCCGCGTATATTTACGAGTCACATTCTCTGTGAGCGCTCCATACGATTTCAGTTGGTCTTTGATGGAACCCTACAGCAAACAAAAAGTATAAAATACTGTAACATTTCTAAAACCACAACTGGGCTAATACTATAGTTGAACATCAATGAAATTTATGCCCGAAATGCAGACATTTAAAGTTGCAATACTTCTCTACATCAACTTAAAAGCAGAGATATAGTTTTACCTTCACTGAGAAAAGTAACAAACTTTGACAAAAAAGGATGGGCAGAGAAGTCACACACCGGAGTGTTAAGCTGTTAACTTTAAAACTGTCAAGCAGCTGAACAGCTCCAGTGTGACGTACAGAAAAAAAAGAGAACAGCAGTGCTTTCACTCAAACACCACTCCCAACTTTTTTGATGGCAAGATGGTGATGCTGCAGTTGGACAACACACATGTCCTCTTCCTTGGCTGGTTTATACTCAGGAAAAAAAGGTTGCCAAGGGGAAAAAAAAAAAAAAAAAAAAAAAAAAAAATCACATGCTGGAGGATGGTGCTTTATGTAAAAATGAAGAGGTAAGTCAGTCTTGGCTTAAAATATCATTAAATCAAAAATTCATGGGTTTGTAACTATTTTTTTTATAGCCTGGTTTTGTCACACAGAGTTACAAACAGTTAAGATTACTTCTGTGTCGCTGTCCTTCAAATCTCAGAAAAATTCAAGAAGCCCCCCAAAACAAAGCCCAGAGCTCACCTAAAAAAAACCCAAAGAAACAAACAAAAAACCCACCACCACCACCACACACCCTCCCCCCCACACTGCTGCTCTTCTGTGGAGTCTCACAGTAGAACGCTGTTAACTATTCAGAAATACAGAGCCTATGTTTTTACAAGAAGATTTTATTTAGCTCTGCTGACCCCACTTGGTGAGAAAATGAAAATCTAGTTTTCTGACCTTATAGTATTTCTTAACAAAACAGCAGAAGAATAGTTCAGCGCGTACCTTGGTGCCAAACAACAAACAAGCACCAAGATTATTTTCTGTACGCACTTATTCCCACACTCCTCTCAGCTACTCTTCGTTTTCCTGAAATAACTGAGCACTTGAGATGCTGACTACACAACAGCGCAAGCTAAAGCGCGGCAACAAGAGACATTAGAATTCAGGAAGACTCAAGAGTTTACTAATGATAATATTGACTTTTCAAAGAGATTGCCATGCACTTCTTCCGCCAAAAACCAAACACAAAGAACTTTTTTTTTTTGTTTACACATGACAAATTCTGAAAACCCAAACAAGCAATGGAGGGCAGGCTGCTGTAAGCAGCTGACAGTACCCGTCTTTGGACACTGTTTTTAACTTGGACATTCCTTTAATATCTGTGTGCACTTCTGCAAAAGCTGCCTACTTGGGTGCTCGTCACATTGCGTAGAGACAACGGCCAAAGTGGACTGGCTCTCCTGCTTACCCCAGGCATATATTCCATGAATATAGAGAGTGTTCTTTCTGGTGGATCTCTCAAGAAACCGTAATACTGAACAATTCTTTCATGCAGCAGATTTTTCAGCAACTGAATCTCACACTCAAGTGCATTTACTTCCTAAAAGGAAAAAACAGACAAGACTTACCATGCATGATGGAGTAATAATAATCTTTTGGATTTGGGTTTTTTTAAAGTAGGACGGTATGTACATGCTGAAGGGTTACGCAAACCAAGTAACAAAATACTGTTGTAGCTTATGTAAAGTCTACATATTTTATAACAAGAAAATATCACCATTAGATTGAGGGATGTAAAAAAAAAAAGCCTATGGCTTCTCTATAAATTTACTTTGGGATGACTTTGTGGTCATTTCATTGTTTCTCTTATTTTCAGGTTACATTTGTTTCAGAGCACAGGATACACATCAGTATGTGTATGAAGTCACTGATCATTATGCAACGTGTCACAAGTCTCCAATTGGGTAAAAAAAAAAAAGATATAAATAAATCTTTGTAGTGGAATAATTCGCATTAATTCTTAGGTTTTGCAGGATGACAGACTATACTTTAAAAATGCCTTTGAGGACCACTTAATATTGCAATAATGAAATACAACAAAGAACAACAACACATACAGTGCTTTCTCTAGAGCTATCTGAAATAGTAAAAATCTTACAAACAGGAAGTAAGATGTTTTGAAATGGCCTGTACAGTAAGACGCTGGAAAAATACTAACCCACAAAATCAAACTAGACTGGATTCCAAATTTCACCTAGAAGCCTTTCATGAAAACTTACTTTTCATCCGTCACAGACTATTCTAGATACCCTCACACTTCTGAGGTTAGAAGGAAAACATTTTTTGACACCGAGAGGCACACATGACAAAAAGCTATGGCAAGGGTGGCCACAAAACTCTTGCTACAGGAGACACTACAGTATTTTATATTTAACATTTCCAAAGCATAATCAGTCATTCTGTTACATTTTAAAGCAGCAGCAACAAGAACTATGCTAGAAATCTACAGCACAAGTGATTCTTGGCTTTTTTTCTTGATCCTACCCCACTAGTAGCAGCAACTATAACCGGTAGCCATTCGATTCTGCAATTGTGCTTACACCCATTGTTTCCCCGGCCTGGCTCCCCACAGTGCAGAATGCAGTGCTAATGCAAGAAAAGTAATATAATTCTTTTTCCATCCTGTAAAAACAGCAAGTATGGTTTGGGAAAAAAGAAACAGAAGATTGGTGCTACTTTGAAATAGTTTCTCTCCTCCAGTGTCTAGTATTTAAAGAAGGACAAGTTCAATTTTGGAGAGAGAATAAACTGACAATGAAACTTTTGCTCTTCAGAGCGAAATACAGCAAATAACAGTAGCTAGCCCTGATGCCCACAGTTTCACAAAAAACCCCAACCAAATCCACCCCCCACTGAGGGGGGAGAAAGAATTTCAAACTGTCTTCATAGCCAAACAAAATAGCCTTAAGAATTTATTTCCAGGAACACTTAAATTAGTACGGATTTGCCTGTTTATAAATGGAACTTGTTCTAATTCCTGTAAGTATAAATACTTATCTATTTCAGAGCACACTTCATAATGGATTGTTTAATTTTAGAGACTGACACCACCCCAAATTAAGTTATGTATGTTCACTGCATAAGGTTACGTGTGAAAGTTAAAAAGTGAGATATAACATCACAATCAGGTAACCAATCTAATTCTCTGGAGTACTAAAAAACCACGATTCCTAACAATGACACGAAAACATAACACGTTTTAAAACATCATCCTGTTCAAGGAAAGGAACATCAGTCTAGTCTACAAGACACCACTTCAGCAGAAGGCCTTTACAAACTCTCTCTTTGGTATCACTTACCTTGCTGGTTTCTGGACTATCGGGATCAAACTGCACTTGTTTAACAGCCAGTTCCCTTCCGGTATCAGCATCGTAACACAGATAGACTCTGCCAAATGCACCTTGACCCAGCAGTTTACCAAGTCTCCAGTTAGTTGGAGCTCGTGGTGCTGAAAATATAAGTATGTTTTGGTTTTCAAATGAGCTTGTTATTCAGCTGATCGAGAAAAACTGGAATACACAGAAAATAATTTTTTAAAAGACTAAGTTTTTCAACAACAGAGACCATGCATCCTAAACCTCCCCATGTAAGTTACAAAGGTCAGTAAAACTTCCTGGAACACGGAAAACATGAGCTACTTAAATTTATTCACAAAATAATTTGTGGTAGAGACAGACATACTTAAAAACAACTAGCAACAGCTAATCTGAAAAAACAGAAAAAGCACGTTAAATAAACTTAGTAACATTTTTAAAAAAAATCAAGGCATGATTAAAACGCACCAGCTACCAAAGTCATCACAAAGTATATTTGCTCCTGAAATGCCAGCACAGATATAAAGCAGTACCACTTGAGGTCTATAATTTATTAGAAAACTTGACCAACACCTGCAAAAATAAATAGTAACTGCAATCTACGTAACCCTTCTCAGGTTCTCAAGAGTCTAACCAATCATCAAAAAACATTTTTAGTGTCTTGTTATCACAGATGCAAATTCCACGTGAAAACCTACACGAAGGTTGGCACAGTAAGCAATGAAAAACTGATGAGCATGCAGCCTTGACTTTTTCCTATCGGAGAAACAGAAACGTATTACTCAATCGCATGTGTTTTGATCACATGCTTAGTTCTGATACGATATACCTGAAAGGTCAGAGAGTTTCACAGTGCAGTTCACAAAATGCCTTAACTTACAGCGACTGGGTGGGCTGATGTCCATGACTGACAAGGTAGGATTGTCTATGTCACTCCCCCTCCTCCTCATTCGGTTATCTTCATATTCTGGCGTAAAGACGCTGCTTCCACTACTGGTGCTCAGCGAGTGATCCGTGGGACTGAAACTAACTGGGGATCGGAAGCTGTTCCCCTGAGTCCTTCTGGCTCTTGGAAAAGTTTTACGACCTTCAATGATACACAAAGAACACTGTTACGCTACAAAAAACACCGCTATGCAATGTATGTATGGAAATACTTCATGAATTTCACGTAATGTAGTTCTAAACTTCCGCAGCCCATGATGCAACGGAATGATCATGAAATGTACTGGTTTAACTGTCCACCTAGAAGAGAACAAACATTCATCACAGATGTATGTAAGGATTACACTGAATAAAAAAACTGGTTTATGTTTAAGTGACCAAAACTGGGACCAAATTCTGGAACTGTTCTGAAATGTAATCGACATGCTTCAAAAACCTGGAGGGATGAGAGAGAAGAAAGAAGAATGCCCTGCCTCTACTTGCTTTGCTCTGTTAAGCTGTAAATACCAGATTTCTGATAAATAGGAGAGCAAGAGATACGTTTACATTCTAGCGGTGCCCAGGCTGGCATCTTCATCCTGTAAATTAGTAAGAATTGAATGCAGAAAGACCTACACATGGAATCAACAGGAAGACCACAAAAAAATTATATATAAAAAAACCAAACCACAAACAATGCACAATTCAGAGATGGCTACAGTATTAGAATAACAAAATTAAAAGAAAGCATTGACCTTCAAAAAGGTTAATTATAATCAGATGACTAACACAATTCATGTTAATATATTTAGATAATACAAACATTTTTAGGTCAGCATAGCTTGATGAAGTTTCATCCTACAGAACTCACAAAAACAGCTGAAGGAGTCTGATTCATTAGGTATTATGCTGGAGAAGGAGTTCCCAGGGGACTGAAGGAGGCAGATAAAATATCTTTGAAAAAGTAGACTCAGATTTATGTACTAGTCTGGCCAATTTAAATTCCAAGAAAGACAGGCAAACAAATTATTAAGCAGTTTTATAAACCACTGAGAAGATAATAAGGTGATAAACCAGCCATAACTGGTTTGTCACATGTAGCTAATCCAATATCCCCGTTTCATTGTGACAGTCTCATCAGCTAACTAGCGAAGTGTTCATAGACCAGTTTACTATGCAGAGTATGCCCAGGACAGATTCAGAGCAGTCATCAGCGATTCCTCAAAGCGAAGGATAATTTAAGTGGACACCCACAGCAGTTTACCTTCAGGAAACACTTCCATACACTATTTTAACTGATAATGTATATATGATGGAACGTAATACACTGAAATACTGCAGAGACATCAAGTTAAGTGTGCCTGGAAGTCCATTTAAAGACAAAAATCAAAATTCACAATGATATTAGTAAGCTGCAGATGATTCAGAAATCAACAAGACAAAATTCAGTAAGGTAGTACAACATACATACTTAAAGAGAAATCAAATGCAGAAACCACATAGTGTAAAGTAATTGGTTGGCTAAAAGTCATATAGAACAGGAATTATAACAGACTACAGACTGAACAGCATTCAGCACGGTGACTATGAAAAAACGTTAAAGCGTCATACTGGAATGTATTAGCATGACGGCTACATACCAAGTTGTGTATAACAAAGGATATAACCATAGAGTGGCCACGAGAAAAGCCTCAGCTTGAGTATTCTTTCAAGTTTTGGCCACTAAAGAATGTAGAAGAGATCATTAAAGAAAAAAAAAAAAAGGCTTGCAAAAGTGTCTGAGGTAAGGCTTAAGGCTTGAAAGAAGAAAATTAAGGAGAGAAAACAGATGTGAGAGTGATGTAGTGTTATATACGGGCAGTGACCAATTTTTCACTGTGTTAAAGTGGCATAACTAGTTACCAGCTTCATCTGTAGGAAAAATGACTTAGAAGACAGAGAAAGGTAAGTTATAAGATAAGATATCTTTTAACTTAGTTACATAGAGAAAATTAATCACTCTTCTCTTAAAGTCAATTTAGAGTTTACTTAAAAGTCAGTGTGACAGATCTTTGCCTCTTTCATCTTGCCTTAGAGCAAGGGACTGGACTGAAGCTGCCTTGCAGTCCTTCAATTTGGCATTTCTGTGATTTCTGTAACAGAATTCCATTTATTGCTGTGCTTATTCCATACTGCAAATTAAACCATCTGGTCTTTGGAGAAACTTCTTTTTAACACTTCTCAACTAGTGCTTTACACACCTTCAAGCCAGACAGTCCTTCAGCTGCTCCTCTTTCCTTTCTCTGGAAGCTTAACATGTTAAATTAACACCAGTGTCATTACCGTCCAACTCAGCTTTGTGGCCACATGAACAGGTGCTGCCTCACATTCCAACACTTGATTTCACCAGCTAATTGTTAAGTCTCAGTTTAAATAATTGCTCTTCAATTTTATTTACTCTTTCAATCAGAGAGACTGTTACTAGAAACTCCACCGTATTTGGGGCTTTTTTAAGCAAAAAAAGAAACGACAAACACACCGACATACCTACTTTGGACAGAAAAGGGTCACAAAGGTCAAAAGCTTATAATGGATGATTCGTGCATGGCCAAAGATAGAAAACATTTTCACAACTGTGCAGATGAGTCATGAATTCTGTAATCCATGACTTTACCAGAGGTAAGACTGCTAAGCAGCTCTATCAATGGTTAGAAGTTTAGCAACTTCTTTGGGAAAAGAAGTTAAGCTTTCAACTTCTTCAATATTTTCATTCATTAAGATTTTACAACTTACTTTCTTTGCTTTTTAAGAAGAAAAAAAACAGATTAAGAAAGTAGAACTCTTGCATTATTCACACTTACCATCATTGTAGTCTTGTTGATGATATGAAATATGGTATCTTCGGGGATAAGTTCCACCCTTTCCAAATTTCTCAAATATTGGGATATCATACTCTACTAGAAAATTAAAAGATACATTTCAAAATTTAAAATGTGACAAAAGCACAGAGAATTAATCAGTTTGGTATAATAAACTTAAGCATGGGGGAACGTATCGGAGGATATGCTTCAAGTTGAAGCATCAGAGCAAAAAAGATTATAGAACAAAAGGCACAAATCTAACAAATCACAAGAACTAAAGGGACATTCAGCCAAAAGTTTAAAAGGATCAAGAATTCAATAGTGCAAGTGGTTCATAACCTCCTGCTTAAAAGAATGTCAGAAGACTGCAGCATGCCTAATTACTCTACTTTTAAAAACAGTTTCTAGAGAAAAATTGGCAGAAACTATTACAAAGAACAAAATTTAAAGATGCATAAATATGAAAAACTGGTGAATGAGTCAACACAGCTTGAATTACTAAAGCATATTCAATAGGTCTTCTTTTAAAAATTACTGAAGGAGAAAAGTATCCACAAGATAAAGGGAAAAGTCCTTCACGCATAAATAATTGGTTAGAAGATAAGTACATAAGATGGGAGTAATCGGTCAACAGTTCCACAGGAATCTGGGCTACAACTCATGCAGTTTAATTATGTATTAATCCTCTGGACAGAACAATGAGGAGTGAGGTGACAAAATCATTTTGAGAAATAAAGCCCACAGAAGAATTACAGAAAGGCCTTAAGAGTCTACGTGACTGCATGTTAAAATGGCAGATGAAATTAAATGTAGGCGAGTGTAAAGGTTTGTGACAGAGTGCTCCAATAAAGCAGCAGCTGAACTCTCTGTATTGGCTAAGAAGCAAATTAAATACTATAAATCATTAAGATACACTGAAAAAAGTCCTTAGTCTACTCTACTAAGGATTTAGTAAAACTGGAAAAGATTTAGAAGTACAGAGATGATCAAAGATACAAAATTGCTTCCCCATAAGGAATGCAGGCCTCTATAGACTAGATAAGCAACAGCTCAAAGGGAGACATAAAGAGGTCTATGAAAAAAAAACCCCAACAAACGAAAAATAATCACAAAGGGCACACTTCATAAAACACAGTAAGTTGAACAACTTCTTGTCACAACGTACTGTTGATACTGAAAAAGTTCAAAGAAGTTGAAATAGGGACTGCAAAAATTTGTGGAAGGAAAGAAAAATAATTTATCAAATCACAGACAAGCATCTTGCATTTGCAGAGCCCTTAAGCTACACATGACTAGGAATATATTCTGAGGGAGGAATACTGCATGCTCCTCTATAGAAGCCTGGTACTGGTTGTGGCAAGAGGAAAGACTACGCCAGATGGACAATTTTTCTGACTGTATGTACTATTCTGGTTTTGTTACATATCAAATCATGAGAATAAATATTGAATACGAAATTAATGGTTGCTGTCTATTCAATTGTTACAATACCAGAGCATCCCACAGGAAAAAACAGAAAAAATATTGCAAGATTTTCTTACTAAAAAAGTAACCGTAACAAACACACGTAAACTAGATTAAGATTATCAAAGGCCAACTAATTTCTGACATTTCCAACTTTGTTGGTATTTATCTCTGCCACTTAAATGCTTCTTATACATAGTTTCAGTTTACTTCCATTTAAAAGTGGTGCAATCTGTTAAGCACTATAGAATCCTTAAAAGAAAAAAACCAGACCATCACCCAGTTATCTGGGTAAAGCCTCACAAACAAATTAAAAAGAAGCCTTAAAGTATACAATAGACCAAAAAACACAAAACATCTCAGATTCACTGGAAGCTAATCGTTGTTCAACAGCAAAATTCTGTAGTGAGGCACATTCATGAGAGACACTTCACTTTCAAGGTTACCCATTGCACTTTGTATCCTGAACCATGCACGACGACGTGGATTCAAGCCAGAGTATCATTTGAAAACAACATTAGTGATGATGATTAATTTATAGGCACAGCACACAGTTCTCTGTCACCCTTTCACTTTGCAGTGCTTTCAATTATGGAAGTCATAAGCATTTCAAAGCGATTCCCATTTCTCATAGGAGAAAATAAGGGCTCCACATGCTGGTTCTGGCTGGGACAGAGTTAATTGTCTTCACAGTAGCTCACATGGTGCTATGTTTTGGATCGGTGACCAAACCAGTGTTGATAACATAGGGATGTTTTAGTTATCGCTGAACTGTGCTTACACAGCATCAAGGCCTTTTTGTTTCTCACACTGCCTCACCAGCAAGTAGGCTGGGGGTCCACAAGAAGTTGGGAAGGGACACAGCTGACCCCAACTGATCAAAGGAATATCCCATAACTATATGAGGTTGTGCTCAGCAATAAAAGCTGGGAGAAAGCAGGAGAAAGTGAGGATGTTTGGAGTTACAGTGTTTGTCATCCCAGGAAACCATGAGGTGTGATGGAGCCCTGCTTTCTGGGAAACAGCTGAACACCTGCCTGCCTATGGGAAGTGGTGAATGAATCCCTTGTTTTGCTTTGCTTGTGTGTGCGGCTTTTGCTTGACTGATTAAACTGTCTTTATCTCAACTCCTGGAGTTTTCTCACTTTTACCCTTCCGATTCTCTCCCCCACCCCACTGTGGGGGAGTGAACGAGCAGCTGTGTGGTGCTTAGCTGCCTACTGAGGTTAAACCACAACGCTCCAAAACCAAACAAATTAACCAAGGCTATGTGCCAACTTAGAGATGGATATTACAGTCCAGTTTAACACACCGTTGCGTGCCCCTATCCACTGCATCATCTGTCCTTTTCAGAGACGCAGATAAGTTATACTATGCAAACGAGCAGTGGTGTTACAATAATCTAGAAGAAAACATTTGGAAGATCTTACATTTCTTTGTATCTTCTACTGTGTGCATTTGGATTGGATTTTGTTGCTTTGTTTCTCCTACCACATTAAGTTTGTGTAATACAATACCTCTCAATGTAAACTTCCCTTCTAAGCCCTATTATCTGCAAGAGGGAGAGTTCTCAAAAGCTAGTGTGTCCAGTGATTTTTGCCTACCTGAGAATTCCTGATGATTATCTGGATAGCTCTGTGCTCTTGGCATTCGAGATTTGGGATAGTTGTCTCTGGAAGTATAAAAACATACAGCATCTAAAAACTGCTGTTAACCTAGTACTTACACATGTAATCTTACTGTCTCACAATACTTTATGACTGATGAAAAGTTATCGCTATGCAAGTTGCTGCACCAGTTTACAAATATGGAACCAATTTTGAAGACCAAATCTAATGGGTAGCAGTGACAATTCAAGACCAACAATGGAAAGCTTGCTTATTGACCTTAATGTAATGGGAAAGCAATAGACTATTAATGAGCAATGATACTAGTAAAAACATAGTAAAGCCATAAAGGAGCGCTGTTACATTTAACACCTTTATGGCTAAACACAAAGGTTTATAGACTGGCAAAATCTCTTACACAGCCTACAAAAACTCTTGAGGAAATTTAACCACAGAAATGTAGAACCTTTTAACATCTCAAAAATATCTCCTCTTCTCTCCATGAAAGGCATAGGATTAAGACAGCCATTTTATTGAGATATAGAATGATGAAGAATTTTTTGGTTCTTATACAATCACATTGTTTCTTACCTACAGTTGGTATGTAACTCCCAGCCACCAAAAGGAATGGATGGGATTGCCAGTCAGAGCAACCGATTACAGTATATTTCCATTAACATACCAAAACAATGTCCTCCTCTTTCTGGTAAGAATTTCTCTAATGGGTAACAGAAGCTAAATGGAGACACAAAACCTACATCTTTGTAGGAAATATTTGAATGGAGAGAAAAAAAAAAAAAGGAAAACAATCTAAGTAGAGGTGACAAATGAAGTAAATAAAAATCAATCAAAAGAAGTTTTGAAGAAGAAACACGAGTTGAATTAAGATAGCTTAGCTTCCCCTTCTTCCACTCACCCCTGCCCCATAAAAAAACCTAAAAATTTGGCACTTTGGTAGAATTTCTATCCTGTGTAGCTACATTAAATACTCTGTGTGTATAACCCATCACACCCCAACCACAGAACCTTTTCATGTCTATTGTTTTCTTGCTTGTGAAATGGAGACTCATTATTTAACTCAAAAATTTGTTAGACCAAATGTATTTGTGTCTTCAAATGAAATGGTACCATGGAATGCTGTAGCTCTGATGAATTGCCACAGGCAATGATTTCCAACTTTTTACCTTTCTAACAGTTAAATAAAGTATTTCATTAGCAGTATTGTTCGTATAGCAGATCCAAATACACAAGTAGCCAATCTGCGGAACGTAAGACCCAAGGTTATTTGCCTGACCGACCATAAACCAAACAGGAGCATGTTCCGTTTGGCTTACCTGGTGGCTGAGAAACTGGAGAGTGACTTCCTGAAAACACATGAATCTCCTAAGAGGTCAATCAAAGCAGATCTCCAAACTCACCTCAGTACACACTGCCTCTCTCTAACTGACAGGTTTAAACAAAGCAAAATAAGTGGGAAGTCTGCCCTGGGATCAAGGGGGGAAGAATGGACAGTAATTACAAAGAAAAGTAGGGCATTGTATGTTGAAGTGTTTAAGTGATTCTACCCTTTCTTGAACCCTCTACCTTGGAAAAGGAAACCTTACTTATAGCAGTAAGCAGTAGCATATAGCAGTACCCAAGAAAAGTAAATTTGATGGGGTGGCTCACTGCCAGGGAGTATACTTCGCATATATGTAAGACTGGCAAAATTTAGTAAAAATCTTCAGTACATTTTTGTAGTCTAAATTCGTGTTTCAAATGTAAATTCTAAAAAAAAAAAAAAAAAAAACGCTATGTCTCTTTTCCATGCATTAGTAAGCAATTAAATTTCAATAAGCTTTTATAAATGTTCTATAGCTTGCAGCAGAATTTCTGGAAGAAGTTCAGTAATAGCTGTGGATGGAGAGCTATTACATGTTACAGCTGATACATTATGCAATCTAATAAGGATAAATAATGAATGTAAGTAATTTTTACCCATCTAAAGGGCTGTCAAGTGAGGGACAGCTTCCCGAGCCAGAGTTTTCAGGACTGCTCAAAGACAATGGATCCAGCATCTAATAAATAACAAACAGAGAAAGACCAACAAGTTCAAGGTTTTTGGCATTTTGTTTTGTTTTTTGTTGTTTGGGTTTTTTTAAATACTTGGGGGTTACTACTTTGAAACGCCTAACAAAAAACAAAAACCAACCAGAAACATTAGTCACTAGAGAAAAAGCTAGCTGCCATAGTTGAACTTGCACTGCATCCTGCAATCCTCAAAGCACTCCATTTTTCTTGCATTGAACTAGAAAATAATTAAGGTATTTAACCCTCTATCATGCTTTGCACATAACAAGTTGTACTGCTACATTCTGTACATGTGATTGTCTCAATATTATAGCGATATCTGCATGAGAGTAGCTTAACAGAACAACAAAAATAAAGCCTCTGAAGGGTTAAAAGCTGAGACAGTTTAAAAAAACCCATGGATTTTGTTGTCATCACCAAAGATAAAAAAAAAAAATCTCAAAGAGGGCACAGATTGTGGTAAATACAATTTACATAAACTTTGTGGTGGCTTAAGTTTGGCCAACTAGCAGTCACAGAAAACAGCCAAAATCAAATACTGTAAAAAGCTTTTAACCATTTATCTCTAGTTAGGACTCCAAGCGAGTTACATAGATTTTTAAATAGAACTGAAAAGAAAATAGAAGGAGAAAGAGGGAGAATGCATAAAATTTATAAATGCTCTCCTTTTTCACCCAAACAAAAACCCTGTTTCAAATAAAATAAACTTTCATGTGAAACTGGAGTTCAGAAAAACAACAAAGACAGATTTTTTATTTTCCTAAAATACTTCTGACATTTTAATAATCAATGCTCATGGGCTGTGTGAAATCTGCCACGTATCACTCTGAAGAAGTCATAAAACTGAATATCTAGGCCAGATCCATTACATAATGAAATCAATCATCAACACTTTCCCTGTTTCTCTAATTCTAATCCAGAGAAACAGAAACTGATAATCAAGAGCAACCTCTTGATTACCAGCTATTTCTACTGGCTGACATTCGTTTTGTTTATTGCACACTACAACCCTTAAAGTCCCTAGTTTAATGACAGGCAAACATCACTCCCTTCTCTTTTGCAGTAAAGCAACCTAAAATGTTTTACAGATTTATTTTTCAGAAAGTGGAAACAGAATCTAAATTTTGAATTATTGAATGTGACAAATTTACCAGCCTGCCTCTCAAAAACAGAGTGGAAACCTCACCTGTTGTCTTAAATTGAGCTTCCTCCTAAAATTTGTTTGTTATATTATATAACATCTATTTTCTATGAATTGGACACCAGCCTTTTGCTCTAAATTAAGTAGTTATCCCTCCAATTTTTATGGTCTGGGCTGCATCTTAAAGGTCTTCGGCACATACTTTGCCAAGCACCAATCAAAGCCTTATTAAAGAAACAGTGTCCAGAAAGTGAGTTTGCACTCTGCAAACTCAGACACTTCAATGAACTCTGTATCAGGGAGGACAATATTTACCATATGTTCAGCAATTATATTCCTCTTTTCTCATGCTGAACAGTAGGTCCTGAAAGGGAAAGAAGCCCATCTGCTGCCCTGTTAATTACCTCTATAATTTAATGCAGTTATGGTCCAACTGGCAGACCATGGCCCACTTCTATCCAACCCATCATCTCTTCTGTAGAGAAAGTGTGGGATCTGCTGTCAGAGTGCGAATAGCTGTGCTCAGGCAGATCAAACAGGAGAGCAGAACAAAGCACTCCCAAATTCCCTTCTTGCCTTTGTGGGGCAGGCTGTGACAGACATAGACAGGCAGCATGGTCAACACTTGACAAGGTGATGGGGCTACTCAAGAGGGAAGGATGCAAACACAGGTTGCAAGCTCCCAACACCCCAATCTGGCCATTGAGGCTGCTTAGGTCAAACTAATCCGGCTTCCTATGAAAGCAAAAATTCCTGTATTTAAACCCTGCTGACAGCTTACACAGCACCACATATACAATAGGTGACGTTTCTTGAACACTCTGGAGTGAAAGGACATCCTGGACCTCAGAGATCATCTGTCTCTCCGATCAGTCAGTGACCAAAAATGACTTTGCCCAGACCAAAAGTAACCATTTCACTGAATGAATCCAGGCCTGGATTGGATCTGACCACGTAGCTATGATAATGAATAGCATCCTGGCCTGGAAATTAGGAGATTCAGTCTCTACTCCCAGCTCAGTCGTTAAAATTGTGCAACAAATTGCACAATCCCTTTGCCTCTATTTTTATTCCATCATCTGTCTCTCATTTAGTCATCTCATAAAAACCATTGCCTCTTGCCATTTGTGAATACAGTGCCAATGTCAACAAGAACTTGAAGGGATTTGGGTATGCAGCATTATTTTCTTCTTCTTAAAATACCTCCATCTTTTCCCTGTTTTTAAGGGCAATTTTGATATTCAGAGAGCAGGATTTTTATTCATGCTAAGTGTGCTGATATCCCACACGAACAATGCAGGTGAATAAGGCGGATAAAGTAGCATACGTTTGCTATTTTCACACAAAAATGTGATCGTGGAAAGTATTTCAGAGCTTATTTATAGCAGGCCCATTGCCACCCCCTTGCCTCTACCCCAACACGGTGTCCACTAAGCCAAAATAATTCTGACACAAATCCAAACTCTTTAAAACCTCCTTTAATTACCTGGGAAAGCTGTAAAACTGGTCTAATCTTACATAGCCTTCTCATTAAAATAAAGGTGTTTGTGCTTTCTAATGTAGACATTTCTTGCTGTAATTTATATCTATCACTACCTCAACTCAACTATCATGGAAATTAAGAATATTCTCTTTCTCCTTGAAGCAACATATTTAAATGATTGAAGAGACATACAGAATAAAAACAGGTTCTACAAGACTAAACAACCACAATTCCTTTAACCTTCTCTCACAGATCATGTTTTCTAGGGTTGTCATAATTTCTTTAGCTGTTCTTTCTAACAATTCCATACCCTTCTTGAACAGCAATATTTCATAAACCAACCTAACAAAAGCTTTCATAAATCACACACATACCTGATCCATACTTTCTGGAATGAATTCACCCTCACTGTTGATACTGGTGAAGGACCCATTTCGGGCCACCTGATGCAGCTCATCTGGAATGTATCCTGGGGGAGGCGAACTCCTGTCACGAGTATTAGAACCTTTTAAAAGAAAAGGGCAAGTCAGAGCCTCTTCACTAACCCAGAATCCAGGGGCTTTACTCAAATGCTTCACAGGCACTGAGATTGCCTGGATCACTTCTTGCATTTCTTAGAAATTTCCCAAATGTCTATGCCATACAAGACTTACATACAGCATTTAATAATTAATAATCTGTAATCCAGCAATTACGAAAAATTTGGGTCAGGGTTGCCTCGCTGGCATTTAAAAGTACTTTCATTATATAGGAACAGAAATATAATTTGCCTGCACATCTAACTGGGTAAACGTCTTCTTTTGAACCAAAATAAAAATCCAAACTCTTCCACTCATGTCAACTAATTCTTTCCAACTCTTGAGAATTTCAGTTTATCTTTGTAGATTATGTTTGCAAAAAATAACACAATCTATTCATAATAAATGCATAACAAATTAATCAAATTGTCTGAAAAATTTTTTATTAAACTCTCTAGTTTCATAATTAAATTTGGAAGTTAACATCACACCAACTTTAATACATGAATAAGCAAAAACGTTATAATAAATGTCAAAATATCTTTAACAAATGTTCACATGTTAAGATTAAAAAAATTTGGAAGTCCTAAATTCAGCAAACAAATGCACTGCCATATATTCAAACAGATTTTTTAGTACCTCATTCCTGTATCTGAAAATAAACTGGAGTATTAACATCGACTTTTTAGGATACCAACCAGTTACCTCAAATAACCCTACACTGATTTATCTACTTGTAATTGGGGGTTTTAAAATAATTTTCTGTATTATATACATATTTAAACCACCTTTGACTTAAAATTCAGCATCCACTCCTCCTCTATAGGAGGATGAGTAAGAGAAATTCAAACAGTCTATGTTGAGAGCAAGACCTTCATTAAGAGATTATTACAAAAGAAAAGTTTTTACCATGAAAGCTATTGAAATATGCAGCTTACCTATTACAGAGAGTCGCCTTTTTCTGTCTGTCACACCAAACACTGTATTATCTAAATCTTCCAGTGAGGGCAAGGGTTCCACATTATTTACACTGGCTGACTGAAAATACATACATGTCACAAATTGCAGTTATTACTTTATACTCCCAACAATGAAAGTATGTTGCAAACTTTATAGGCATTGCGCAGCACATTCCTTTTTTCAAGCAGTTGAAAAGAAGTTTGCCAATTTATATCAAAATTCATCGCTTTTAGTAGCTCATTCTTAATATTTAAAACCAATTTTCAATACATACTAGCATACAAATCCCATCAATATGTCTGTGATGTGCTAGATAATACCAAAATAACTCAGTGTTTACCTCTAGTCCACCGCTACTGTTTGCTACAAGAAACATTTAACTTGTCACAAATGAGTGTCACCAACATACGACTTAAAGAACAGTTTCAAATAACTACAGTTACTTAAATTCTATGTGCTTCTCAAACTTGTGTCACATCATCATCCTATTAAGGAACACTCCTACCACTGCAGGGAAGGCAAACAGAGAGAGGAACAGAATCTAGGAAGAAGTTAAAACCAAGTCAATACAAAGTGCTAACAGATGCTTAAAGGGAACTAAAGGAGCAATCAGTAATGTTTTCAATTGGAAAAATGTCGTCTTTAAGAAAAGATATGAATTCTACTTCAATATGAAAACTGAGGAAACAGACATTTAGTACGTCAACTCATACCTGTGTATTTCCATGTATTACAAGCAGTATCTTGAGACTCTTCATATGAACACTACGGTCAAGCAGTTCAACAGCTTTGTCCAGGTCATCCTGCGTGGTTAATGGAATTACAAGCTACAAAAAAAAAAAAAAAAAAAAGGAAAAGAAAAGCCTTAAACAAGAAAGAAAGGAGGGAGTCAAGTGCAGAGAAACAAATAAACTGATGCTATCTTTCATTCCAAACAAGCTGAAAACAAAATTTATTAAGTGATGCCTCCAGTTAGCACCAAAATGTCTGAAGATCAGCCTTAAGTCTTCCTTCAGATACCTTCAACAGGCACAGCATGGTGGAACGAGTCTTCACAACGAACAAACAATCGTTTTATACATGTACAACTTAATATCCTCAAGTTTCAGAGAAACATGTGCAACAGTGTTGATGTATTTGCTATCACCCAAATTAATGCAAACCTATAAGATAAATAAAAATAAGCCCTATTTTATACAGCATAAAGCACATTTTTGTATCTCACAATACTACAACTATACTTGCTTGAAGTTGCATCACTAACAGAATTTCTCCACTGAAAAACAATTTGTTGAGGAAGTAAATTAGGCATGATGTGATCCACATGGAACAAGTGTAGTCCTCACTAGAATCTTACTGGGATCTAATTAATTAGAATTAACTTGGCATACATGTATCTTTAGAACAGAAAACATGATGTCATTAAAGTCCACTTGAGATGTGAGTTCTATAACGATTAAAATTGAGCTTATGTTTCAGGAGTACAAATTACAACTTCTGCTTGTAACAAAGGAACAACACAATATAGATTTTTTAAAAATCTATTCTACTTGTAAGCAGTCTCAGAGATGCCTAAATACAACACATCTGGAAGGCAGTACTTTTATACAGAAAGAAATGGGAATGAGGGAGGAAGGTCTTAATAGTCTTGGAATGGTTAACAAATGAGCATACTCTTCAGTTTAAGTTGTGATTCAATTCTAATGACAGGTTATTACCACCACATTTCTGAAAGGTGATGTGATTATTTGCCAGCTAGTGCAGAAGTTGACAAGCAGAAAACCTGCTCAAATGCCTAAAAATCTATCAGAGGAAGAAGCTGAGGCTAAAGCATCATGAATGGCCATTTCTTCTGACCTTCCTAATCTCCAAAAGCCTTCTGTTGGAATTCTTTGTTTTGAGGATCAGTTGCACGGAAATGCCTGGTAATGGCAGTAACGCACAAACAGCAGTTACAGGAAATTTCTTCTGCAAAGATGCAAATTAGATACAGCAATCATGTTGTGCATAACCAAGCACATGAATAATCCTCCATGCACTTTGGTGACTCAAGGCAAAAAACAGAAGTAACTCCTAAGAATGGATCTTGCATCTGTAAATGTATTTCCTATTAGTGATTCCATCTCTAATTCTAAAGGAAAGGTGGAAGTAATATTGATCAGTCACGAGTGGCTTAACAGCGCTAGCACTGTTCCCAAGAAACGTCTGTGAACGAGCCACTTCAAGAGCAGCAACAGCTAAGCTTAGTTCTCCAATCTAAGCACTACTAAATGCAGCATTCTAGTGATTACATAACAAGATTAATCCTTAAAGAAAAAAAAGTACAAGAAAGGATAAATTATTTCAAATTTACAAACACGACAAAGCTCAAAGAGGTGGAGACTTTCCCAGGGTCACGCAACAGGACTGTGGTGGAGCATGAAAACTATTTACCCCTTCCCAATAGAGTATGAAACATAATTCATTAAGATAAGGCTCTCCTCATAAAACACTTCATGCATCTCCTGCCTATCCTAATTTAGACAAGCTTTACATATTTGAGAACACACACATTAGAAATCTGCCGTTTTGTCACGGGAGGAAGTTTTGTCACAGGAGTGGTTCTCACTGCTTACGAGAGCAAATTTCAGCCTTAAAATAATCAATGCGCAAGTCACCGAGAATTTAGAACACACAGAATATTACCTCATTATTGCTGTAATGTAAATCCATAGTCTGTCCAAAAGCAATTTTAGCTTTAGCTGCAAGATCTTCAAGTTTAACAGGCCTTGGTAATTGTAGGATCCTGAAACACAATTTAAGGTATAAAGAATTTTTGTCTATTACTTATGAAAATCTGGCAATTCATTACTTAAGAATGATCTTAGAATTAAATTTATTGCTAAAAAGACCGTAAGAGGCTACGCTTTACTCACTGTCCTCCATATTTTGGGTCATAAAAGAGAAAAAAAACCAGTGAAACTGTTCTAAGGGATAATCCTGCATAAAATTCGATCTCGTTATGACTACTTACTTGCCTGCATATGGCTTCTTAACTTAATGCTTTGCATGCCTCCATCCCAGAGGCAAATTCTTAGAAACTTCTAAAATGTTCTACTTCGGAAACTAAGACAACGGAGTACCATAGGCTGAGAAACATAAGCATCAGAAAGGAGTGACTCCTATAGTCCCCATTTTTTAGAAATCCAAAAGACTATCGTAACTGAGGAAGATAAGTAAATGTCACCATCTTTACCATAACGAATTACATGCCCAAACTGCTGAGTCCATCACTAACTGTGCTTCAGGTGTGCTCCTGTAAGAATGGTGCAGTTGTAGGTCAAGAACTTAGATTTTCTTTTAACGTAATGTCTTGTAAAACCAAATAGCCCAAGATGCCTGTAACTGACCTTTTACTACAGAAAACTATTGTATTGAGACACAACATCATTAAAAAAAAAGTTTTTAGAAGTGACTAAGCTAGCGAGGTACATTTAATTCATGTTCCAAAAAGAAACCGCACTCAAATTTTGTGAAGCAGAAAAATTAGCAGAGGGTAACTGTCCCTTTTATCAGTGTTTCAGTTACACTGGTTAGGGAACAGTATTTCTCACTGAAATGAGGCTAGAAGCCAGGCCACTTCCAATTAAAAATTATTTTGAAGAAATGAAATCTTAAAAAAAATAAAAAACCTAAATCCAACACCAGTTGTCACCATAGTTAACAATTTGTTTAGCAAGCCTGGAACTCTGCCCATCCCACTGCGCACTCCTTGGTACCGAGTGCCACATTCACTACTGAAAGAAACTGTGGAATCACTTCTCTTTTCCACTTCCCTTTCTAAAAGCTAGTGAGAAAGCCATTGCATAACTCACTTACCTTGCATAATTTCATTATTTTATCTTTCAATCTACATGCTCAGGCAACAAAAGTACTATAAGTCATGCTGAGCAATGAGCCTGGGCTGCCCAGTGCCCCTGGGCAAGCAGGCTGAGGCTACTTGGGACAGTCCAAAATAGACCTAGACCCAGCAGCATAAAAGCTTGGGAAAGGTATCTTTCCACACACTTTATGCCTGTATTCATATTGAATGGGTTAACTTAGTCCACTGTGAAAGCGAATTAAGATAAACTGCAAAAACATGCCATCTGTGCAGACTGGCAATGAGGAAAGTTCTCTGTTTTTCACAAGAAATTGCTAGGTAGAAGAGTCCTCAATTTTCAAAGCCTTTGAAAAGACTTATTTCCTCCAAATTACTTACCGAACTCAACTATTACCGATGCACTGTTACATGTAGTGTTCAGAGAAGTGACAGAAAGAAGCTGAAGAACGTTAACACCTGAGTAACTTACTGTTATTTTACTACCTCATGTAAAGAGAGGGCACAAACAGTCTTCAGCATGGAGGCACACTGATCTATGGCACATCACACTAAGGACTGCCCAGAAGTAGGACAGGTTTCATTCTGAAGCAATCTTTACTCAAGGAATTTACCATTTCTATTGGCAAATACATATGTGACCAGGATATTTCCTTTTTCATTAAGTATTTTTCAAAGATCTTATTCTATAACAATTTCTCTGTGGGTATGCTTTCAGAAAGAGACAAACAGACAAAATGAGTTGGCCGCAAAGCAGTTCTGCACAGAATTGTACACCAACTTCCTTAAGAGCTTTTGAGCAGCCATCAGAGCAGAGAATAGATGTTTGTATACTTTAATCATGCACTTCATCCACCTCTCATACACCAAATGAAAAAAAACATTTAACTCATTATTCAAAATTATCAATTAAAACAATCTAATTAAAGTCTAATAGATTTTTCTGTTAGAGTTCTCAGACTGGTTCCTCCAAAGTACCATTCAATACTGAGCTTTAACATCTAGGCTTCTTCCTCTGGGTGCTACAGTAACAATATATTATCATGCATTTATTACACACGTGATGCAGGGAAAAAAATTATTTGCTGGTCTACTCATGTTTGAGATCTATGCCAATGATCTAAGCCATTGTTCTAGGCCACAAACATCTATCTGAAGGACATTACACAGGACACAGCTATGGTAAGATACTTCTGCAGTTACATATTCTAAGAGCCCATATTTGAAACAGATTAATTCTCCTTGTGTTCACATCAAAATTAAGTTTAAGCTCAAACCAAATGCAGTCAGCTATCTGAAACACTTTGAAGAGTTTATTTGAAACTTTATGATAAAGCCCAACAAAATTCTATAAATAAAAGACAAGACTGTTTCCTGTGTTCCCACTTACCTTTTTTCACCTCGATGTTCAAATTTGACTCTAACATCATTCTGTAAGAAAAGAGATAAAGGAACCACTATTAGCTTGTCACTACCTCCTTTAATGAAGGTCATGAAATTCCATTCAATAATCCTATACTAGAAGTAAAATCCTTAGGCAGTCCATATTAGTCTTCTGTCCTTTCAGATATACCAAGCATTTTAACAAGATACTTCTGCTGAGGTACCTGATAGTGGCTTAATGTTTGTAAAAAATACAAAAAATTATTCTGAAGTGCAACAAATGTTTCTGGAAGTAAACATATTATTTTCTATCCATATATTTTAATATCATAACAGATTCATGATTTCAAATTCAGCATGGAACTGATTACCAAAGAGTTATCTATCATGAACAGGTAAGTAGATTTAACTACCATAACACGTACACTTCAGAACTGAGTGACCCAGGCTTAAGAAACATATCTTGGTTCATAAGCATTACCATAGAAACCCACACATGCAATTAAGCCAGCACTCATGCAATCAATTTCCCAATAACAAAGATACCTGCAAATATCTGAAGTTACATGGAAACAAAATTGTTCTGCAAAATTAAAATTTTAAGAATCAAATTGCATTAGCAACTACTGCAGGGGAAAAAATAACATTCTACCACAGAGTTTATGAATTAACACAATGCAACCACAGAGATTACTCTAGTGGAGAATCTGGCTGCTCGTGGCTTGGATGAGCACACGCTCTGCCGGGTGAAACACTGACTGGACAGCCAGGCCCAGAGGGTGGTGATCAATGGAGTTAACTCCAGCTGGCGGCCGGTCACAAGTGGTGTTCCACAGGGGTCAGTCCTAGGGCCACTTCTGTTTAACATATTTATCAATGATCTCGACAAAGGGATAGAATGCACTCTTAGTAAGTTTGCAGACGACATCAAGTTGGGTGGGAGTGTTGAGCTGCTTGAGGGTAGGAAGGCTCTGCAGAGGGACCTGGACAGGCTGGATCGATGGGCCGAGGCCAACTGTAGGAGCTCCAACAAGGCGAAGTGCCGGGTCCTGCACTTGGGTCACAACAACCCCACACAGCGCTACAGGCTTGGGGATGAGTGGCTGAAGAGCTGTCTGGCAGAAAAGGACCTGGGGGTGCTGACTGACAAGCAGCTGAATATGCGTCAGCAGTGTGCCCAGGTGGCCAAAAAAGCCAATGACACACTGGCTTTTATTAGGAAAATGTGGCCAGCAGGAGTAGGGAGGTGATTGTCCCCCTGTACTTGGCATTGGTGAGGCCACACTTCGAATCCTGTGTGCAGTTTTGGGCCCCTCACTACAAGACAGACATTGAGGTGCCAGAGAGAGTGCAGAGAAGGGCAATGAAGATGATGGAAGGCCTAGAGAGTAAGTCTTACAAAGAGTGGCTGACGGAACTGGAGCTATTTAGTGTTAAAAAAAGGAGGCTGAGGGGAGACCTTATTGCTCTCTACAACCACCTGAGAGGACACTGTGGAGAGGTAGGTGCTGGTCCCTTCTCGCAGGTAATTAATGACAGAACAAGAGGGAATGGACTCAAGCTGCACCAGGATAGGTTTAGGCTAGACATCAGGAAAAAATTTTTCACTGAAAGGGTTGTCAGGCTTTGGAATAGGCTGCCCAGGGAGGTGGTTGAGTCACCATCCCTTAATGTGTTTAAAGGTCATTTAGATGTGGTGCTTGGTGATATGGTTTAGGGGTGTACTTGGTAGAGTAGGGCTGATGGTTGGACTCAACGATCTCAAAGGTCTTTTCCAACCTGAATGATTCTATGACTATATTGAAATAACGATTCACGAGTGACTACTTTCAAAATTCACAAATTTAAACACAATGACAAACACATATTTCTCCCTCACCATTACCACATTTAAACTCAGAAATGACTCAACTATTTCTTCTAACTTTCTAAACATGTATTATATTCAAATCATTTTGGATCATATCTGCACATTACTACAATGTCAAAGTCATAGCTCAGAAGTGAGTTATATGACACTAGCAAAGCACCAGTTATATACTGAACTCCTTCAGCTTTTAAAGCACAGAATGAAAAAGATGTAGCCATTGTTTTTGATGGTTTAAGAGCCAAATATATTCAAACACTGTGATCTTTAAAAGATTGAAACAAGACTGCACAACCTGAAGTTTCATGAAGTATTGGGCTGTCAATTAAATAAACATACAAGTAACTCAACAGGGCTATTACAACAATTTGGGTAAAAAAAATCCACATCCCCTCCTCTCCTAATCTCTCCATATAGTAGTTCAAAAAAGTATTTACTACTTTTCCATCTGTGTTCAGTATCTGCAGGAAAAAAACCCCACAACAACACAGCTGAAAAGAACTCACACTTCCAGCATATGAACAAACAAAAAAAATCGAGGCTGAAGATTCAGTAAAGGAGATTAAGTATGATTCTGCGGCTGTACTGACATTCTTTAGTATGATACAGCTGACAACTGGGCAACCTAAAATACCTATAAAATTAATTCTAAAGAAGCATCCCAAAGAAGAGATACTAGCACACCTTGATGTTTTTAAATAGTCTAGTACCAATCAAATAATAATAACAATAAATCTTAATTTATCAGGATCAGAGTCATAACTATGATTCGGTTTGAAATGCCACCATTTCATTTTGCTGCTAATTTATGAACATGAACAAAGAAAATGGCAGCACATGTGGGAGACTAACAGCTTATTCTGGTATGCTCACTGGTCTGGCAAGAAAAATAATTATACAAGTCACAGCAGGACATTCCATGTTCAATAGGTTAGTAAGGATATTAAAGATTACCTGTTTTTTAGGTGAAGATGACTTTGGTTTTCCGGTTTCTTGCTGGGGTAACACAGGACGACTGGCCTTATGAAGCACAGCCAAATCCTGCATGATTGAATTCAAAGCTTGCTGCTCATCTGCTCAGAGAAAAAGACCAGATAAGAGAAGTGCAAATGACTGCTACATTTGAAGTGCATTACTGTCTCACTTCTCAATTAGGCAGGCATTATTCTAAAATCTAAAGTCCGTATTGCACTTTGATACATAGTCGCCAAATTGAAAAACCACCTTACTGCCATGTTGCAAACATTTTTATTTATCATTAACAGTGCTTAAGGAAATAAACAGCTTAATCAGTAAACGCACTTCAATGGCAGGTTTAAAAAACTGAAGTCATAACACGAGACTGACAAGTCTACAGAACTGCAGGCTGTATTAATAAAAGGGCAAAGGGAAGGTTTATCTACTTTATTTCAAATAATGCCCATGTGTGGTGGGTTGACCCTGGCCAAAATGCTAGATGCCCACCAAAGCCGCTCTATCACTCCCCCTCCTTAACTGGACAGGAGAGAGGAGAGGGGAAAAAAAAAAAAAAACACAACAGGCTTGTGGGGTTGAGATAAGGACAGGGAGATCACTCAGCATTTACCATCACGGGCAAAACAGACTCAACTGAAAGGAAATGTGATTTATTATCAATTAACTCAGAGAGGAGTAATGAGAAATAAAACCAAATCTTAAAACACCTTCCCCCTACCCCTCCCTCCTTTCCCAGGCGTAACTTTGATCCCGATTTTCTTCCCTCCTCCCCCCCAGCAGCACAGGTGGAAAACAGGGAATGGGGGTTGGGGTCAGTTCATCACACTGTTGTTTTCTGCCGCTCCTTCCTCCTCAGGGGGAGGACTCCTCACACGTTTCCCCTGCTCCAATGTGGGGTCCCCCTCACGGGAGAAAGTCCTCTATGACTTCTCCAGCCTGAATCCTCCCACGGGTTCAGTTCATCATGAACTGCTCCAGCGTGGGTCTCCTCCATGGTGTGCAGTCCT